GCAAAACAATAAGGGCATAAAAAATTGCTCAAGGTTGAGCACAAAGGAAAAGATCCGCCACATACTCATTTCAGCACTTACCAATCTAATCTGCCACGCTCGTGAGACCTCACAGTCCTTTCGGCAGCCAAGGCCCCTAAGCTCCCGAGCTCAGCCAATCCCAAACCCCTTGCCAATGCAAATGCCAAGGTTGTGCAGCCCAGCTCTGCCTAGCCCAGGCCCAGGCCTGACACCAAGCCACCAAGAAACCCTTCTTGCCGATCGACAGCTCTGCTGGAAAATGGCCCGGCTCCTCAAGATCTTTAGCCAATACTCAACCTGCTGAAGGTGGAAGCTTTGTTCATGATATATGCCCAGGCCACCCCCTTGCCGAACGGCAAGGGCTGTGCGGAAGAGAAATAAGGCTCACTTCAACCTCCTCTTGCCGAAATGCCCAAACCCGTGGTCCAGCTCCGATCCTTGTCACCTTCGGAAGGCCTAAACAAACACAAAATCAATATAATAACCAAGTGATAAAGCAGGTCTTGCCGAACGGCAAGACCCATGAAGAAGCAACATGGAGGCTCACCCGAACCACGGCTCCAATTCTCGGCCCAGCTTGTTTAGCCCAGACTTGCCGCATGCACAGCTCCAATTCCACAGCTCAGCCCCCACCAAAACTACAAACTGTTCAATTCGCCCCCGACCCTTTGCCGAAACTTCCAGAGCTCAACTCCCAAGGTACTCGAGTTGGCGAAATTGAATGGAGGCTCACGAATCACAATCCCAGGTCAGCCTTATGTTACCCTCTTTTCGGCCGGGGCGGCCGACGAAGGAACTTTTGGTCCTTCTTCTTTTTTGAGTGCGGGGCGTGCCACCACCAAGCTCCGAATTTGGGCTTGAATGGAATGTGAGTAGATGGATGTGTTGCATCCGAGATCTGACTTTAATCAAACGATTGTTCGGCCGAGTAAGGAACCTCCTCACGGCCTAGGCTCTTTCACTACCTCAGAGTCAAGGCTTTATGTGAGCAACCGAATGATGTGGAGTGGGTGGAGATGAAGATTGAAGGTGAAATGCAATGAAACGAATAACACGTGCATAAAGTAAAAGGTGCTTGAATTTAAATATAATTGAAAGACAAGTGCGGAAAGTAAAGTGCGTAAAATAAAGAATTTAAAGACGAGTGCGTAATTTAAAGTGCGTGAAATAAAGAATTTAAAGACGAGTGCGTAATGTAAATTGCGTAAATTAAATAATTGAAATGCGAGTGCGTAAAGTAAAGGGCGGAAAGTAAACTAGATTGCGAAGAACAGTAAAGAAACATGAATTGAAGTTACTGTAATTAAAATAGAATTGAAAAACAAGAACAAGAATGTAAAGGCATAATTGAAATCTACACTGCGTATCACACAAGCTTGACAGTCGATCAAGCCACTTGTTCCATTTTTCTGGCCCTGAAGTAGGCCAACCCCTCATAAGCTTGGGTCGGTCCCAACCTTGCCAATTAAGGTATTTTCCGAGCAAACAAATGTCTTTTTGTTGCGGTCGCATGACTTTAACAACAGAGCTGGGCATACGACCGTAAAAATAGGGACCAAGGATCATGTTGCGTGGAGTGGCAGGCAGTGGCGCAAAATCATAAAAGTCATTGGAGAAAGCGGTCTCATCTTCATTAAGGGCGTCAACCAATATATTATTGTACTCTCTTGCTTCTTCGGGAGACATTGAAGAACGATAACAAGACGGAAGATTGGTAATCTGCAAAATATTATTTGTTAGTAATATTAAATTCCCATATATATATGTATATATATTATATATGATTTGACCCTACATGCTGGGTCAAATAAACAATCCCACGACCAAAATGAATGGCCTTTTGGGCCAATGGTCAAGGCTGCATGCTATGTTAAATTATGTTTATAAAAAATAATAAAATAAAAAGGCCAGCTAAATGGCCTGGCGGCCAAAGAAATCTTCATAACTTTGCAGCCACAACAATGATTCAAATCGGCCATGCACGTGAAGAAAAAAGAAAGAAAGAGAATTATTAAACAAAAGCCATCTTAATGGCCTTGCATCCACGAAGGAAGCCAAATGGCCATATGGGCAATTAGAATAAAAGCATGCATTGTGGGATATTGAAGATGTCAACGGGTCCATATTCATATGATCAGGGAAAATATATACGTATACGTACGTTTATATATATACATATATAAAGTAACGATAAATACCTTAACAAGGTATAGTGCCGAGATTGAAAAACTCACGAACTTGAGAGAGTTTTTGAACGGCGCGTGGTTTTCCAAATCCTAATTGTGTGCCAGAAAAGCAAAGGAAAAATAATGAGTAAAGAAATATATAGATATATATGTGATAGAAGTGCAACCGAAGAAGAGGTGATAGAAGTGGCTTACCTTTGAGAATAGCCAAAGACACTTTTGGTGTTTATAGGGGTGATGTACTTCATTGATTAGTTCACTGGGGTTTATATAAACGAGTGGAGGAAAACCTAGTTTGACTGGGAGAATATTTATGTTGCTTTGAAGGAAAGTAAAGAAAGATTTTATCGCATGGCATAAAATACTTTCCCATAATAGCCAAGTTTTATTTGGGCAAGTAGAAGAAGGAAATTGCTTCATAAAGGAAGAGGGGGAAGAGTTACCTACCCATAATATTTCCCCATGATTCTAGCCAATTAATGGGTGACGTAGAGAATCTTATTACTATATATATATATATATATATAGTAATAAGATTCTCTACGTCACCCATTAATTGGCTAGAATCATGGGGAAATATTATGGGTAGGTAACTCTTCCCCCTCTTCCTTTATGAAGCAATTTCCTTCTTCTACTTGCCCAAATAAAACTTGGCTATTATGGGAAAGTATTTTATGCCATGCGATAAAATCTTTCTTTACTTTCCTTCAAAGCAACATAAATATTCTCCCAGTCAAACTAGGTTTTCCTCCACTCGTTTATATAAACCCCAGTGAACTAATCAATGAAGTACATCACCCCTATAAACACCAAAAGTGTCTTTGGCTATTCTCAAAGGTAAGCCACTTCTATCACCTCTTTTGGCACACAATTAGGATTTGGAAAACCACGCGCCGTTCAAAAACTCTCTCAAGTTCGTGAGTTTTTCAATCTTGGCACTATACCTTGTTAAGGTATTTATCGTTACTTTATATATGTATATATATATACGCACGTATACGTATATATTTTCTCTGATCATATGAATATGGACCCGTTGACATCTTCAATATCCCACAATGCATGCTTTTATTCTAATTGCCCATATGGCCATTTGGCTTCCTTCGTGGATGCAAGGCCATTAAGATGGCTTTTGTTTAATAATTCTCTTTCTTTCTTTTTTCTTCACGTGCATGGCCAATTTGAATCATTGTTGTGGCTGCAAAGTTATGAAGATTTCTTTGGCCGCCAGGCCATTTAGCTGGCCTTTTTATTTTATTACTTTTTTTATAAACATAATTTAACATAGCATGCAGCCTTGACCATTGGCCCAAAAGGCCATTCATTTTGGTCGTGGGATTGTTTATTTGACCCAGCATGTAGGGTCAAATCATATATAATATATATACATATATATATGGGAATTTAATATTACTAACAAATAATATTTTGCAGATTACCAATCTTCCGTCTTGTTATCGTTCTTCAATGTCTCCCGAAGAAGCAAGAGAGTACAATAATATATTGGTTGACGCCCTTAATGAAGATGAGACCGCTTTCTCCAATGACTTTTATGATTTTGCGCCACTGCCTGCCACTCCACGCAACATGATCCTTGGTCCCTATTTTTACGGTCGTATGCCCAGCTCTGTTGTTAAAGTCATGCGACCGCAACAAAAAGACATTTGTTTGCTCGGAAAATACCTTAATTGGCAAGGTTGGGACCGACCCAAGCTTATGAGGGGTTGGCCTACTTCAGGGCCAGAAAAATGGAACAAGTGGCTTGATCGACTGTCAAGCTTGTGTGATACGCAGTGGAGGGAAGAGGGCATCTATGATGCAATCATGCTTTGTAAGTCCAGTTTCACATGTGACCGTAGTCTCGTCGCAGCCGGTCTTTGTTTTTGGTCGACTTCTACTAATACTATGAAGTTAAGATTTGGGATGATGACCCCAACTCTTCTTGACTTAGCCGCCATGGCGGGTTTTCGACCATGTGGTGGTGAAGTAAGTGCTTTATCTTCATCAAAATGCGAGGTTGATTTCGGTTTCACCAAGAAGAACAAAAGCTACAAAGTTTTCATGGAAGCTAATGCTCAAGAAACAGGGCCACTCACGCATAAAAAACATACAGCTTTTCTCATGATTTGGTTATGCAAGTACGTCTTCTGCATGGCGTCGGCGCAAGTTACTTTAGAAGTTCAGCCTCTGGCCGAAGCACTAGCAAAAGGCCATCGGTTGGCCCTTGGGCCAATGGTGTTGGCGTATTTATATCGAGGTCTCTACAATATGGTGTCACTCAACCTAATGAATTGCAATACTACCGGGCCGATTTGGTTGTTTCAATTGTGGCTTCAAGTATACTTTCCAGAAGTACGGCCAGCTCATGCTATATTTTCTCCTAATTATCTTATTGGAGTAAATCTTTTATCTCTACCCCTTTCCGGCCTTAAAGTTGAAGATTACTTTGAAATTTTATACAACTGTGAAGGCCGTTCCCCAGACGAATTTTCTGTTTGTCTAGACCGAGAATTTCCTTCTTATCTTGGGTTGAAACTAAGTTCTCTTTCCCTGGGACCGACCCAAGCTTATGAGGGGTTGGCCTACTTCAGGGCCAGAAAAATGGAACAAGTGGCTTGATCGACTGTCAAGCTTGTGTGATACGCAGTGGAGGGAAGAGGGCATCTATGATGCAATCATGCTTTGTAAGTCCAGTTTCACATGTGACCGTAGTCTCGTCGCAGCCGGTCTTTGTTTTTGGTCGACTTCTACTAATACTATGA